ATTATACCTGAAATGAAAAACACTCAAAATACCTTCCATTAAAGTGAAATATCAGTAAAAATGAGCATAAAATGTTTATAAAAAATATCACATTGGTCAATTCACAAAAGATATTAGTTAAATGTTGATTAGTTTTCTTGAATGTCACATATTGATGCTGAGCCAAGAAACAAGGCACTTCAAAGGTCCTAATAAGTTGTTTAGCTCAGTTGATATTCCGACAACACATGTAGACGAATGAAGAATCAATTCACATTCAGTAAAATGAAAGAAAATTATATGATGAGCTAAACAAAGAACGACTCTACAACAGGACAAGCGAAGGATGGCTCATTGTCATGCAAACTAAAGAGATGGATTGTGAGGCAAAGCGTCTTATGGGCGAATTTAGTTTGGAGGTCTTTGTGTCATTCTCAAGTGACTCACTTTGCTATTATCAAGAAAATGACCATGAACCAATGATCGAAAATAATCATGATCGGCTATGAAACTCTTTATTAATATATATTTTTAATTATCTGCATATTGTACAAATAACCTTGATACCCCTAAGCTGCGTTGTGTAGAAGGACGACTTAGATGTAAGTATATACTTAAGGTATCTCTTTTACCTACAAATAGGAGATCATTTCATGAGAAAATGTTAAATATTATATTTTCTACTCTGCACTTCCTCTTTGTTTCTTATCTTTTTCTAACCTCACACTCTATTCCTTGGGCTTGATTCTACAGATACTTTTAGGTTCGACAATAGCAAAGCTTGAGAGCTTTTTTTGTGTCATATTGAGTGTCATATTTTTATTTAACTATAATAAATTATTTTTGACACTTTTATTGTTGGGTCCCAAGATCCGGATGCGAATAGTAGATGTTTGCGTTAATTAGTCGACCGATGTTATAAAATTTATTATTAAAATCTTGCATCTAAACATTATTAAAATTTTAAAATTTTTAAATAATATTTCATTAGGATTTGAAGAGGGTTAAAATATGATTTGATCAAATTCTCTAACAAATTTTTAATACAACATTTGATATTTTACATAGATCTATCTTACAATCTAATTGGGATAGTGTTTAGGTGGCGTCATGGCTAAGGAACATGAATCTCTCTCTTATGGATTCTCTGGCATGATTGCTTATAGAAATAAGCCAAAGGACGCGGCCTACTTTCCTTTATATAGTTGTGACAGGGCTACCCCTCTCCTCTCCCACAATCCTTTCTCTTGTGTGTCTAAACCTAACGCCCCTCTCCTCTCTTGCGACCCTCACTAGGTTGCTAATCTCTCGATATTTTCCTTAACTCTCCTCTCTCTCTCATAAAATTCTCACAGATACTGTTGTGCCGCTCTCTCTCTCCCTCTCTCTCTTGCTTCTTTGGATTAATTGTTGTGATGAGTTCTTCTCTCCCTCTCATTTCTTCGTGCGGTACTTTTTTTAATGAAGTTCATCTGAGCTGTGATTTCTCTGTGTGATGGTTCCTCATCGTGTTGGGTAATATTTACCTTAACTATGTTCCTCTTTTGTTTTTTTTTTTTGGAAATGTGTATTTTCCTTAGATTATTGTGGTTTCCTCTTTGTGGTGGTTCCTCTATGTGGTGATTCTTCTTTGTGCTTGGCAATGCCTACCTTGTGGTTCCTTGTGCTAAATAATTTCATGGTTCTTGATTTGGCAAATGCTTATGCATTGTTGGTTTTTAGTTGATGTTGGATTTTGGGATTTTTTAGAATCCCATGTGCCATGACTTCGAAATGGGTGTTGGTTTTTTTTTTTCGATGTTGTATTTCAATTTAATGTTTTCTCTTTTATGTTCCAGGTTTAGGGTGAAAATAAATGCAAAGGAGTGTCTTTTGGTTGATGGTAGATTATGGATTTTCATTTGCTCAATCACCGTACCTTTAGTTGATGTTAGATTATGGTGCTGATATGGTGGATGTATAGGTGGAAGTGTTTGTTGAAGGATGTAAAGGTAGTGGTATAGGGTGGTAGATGTGTGTATGTGGAGGTGGAGTTGGTGGTGTAGGGTGGTTGGTTTATGGAGGTATATGCATTGGTAGATGTGGTTGTGTGTGGCTTAGAGGGTGGTGATTAGTGTGTGGTTGTGGTTGTGGATGTGTTAGTCATGGTGGATGTGTTTATGTGTAGTTGAGGAGGTGGTTGTGTTGGTGGTTGGTGTGTGGACGTGGTGGTTGATGGAGGTTGTGATGGTTGATGGAGGTTGTAGTTTATGTATTATTGTGCCTATGTTGGCGGAGGCAGTGGTGTGTGTGGAGATATTGGTGTGTGGAATTGGTGGTAGTAGTGTAGTGGATGTGTTGGTGTTGTAGAGGTGTTGGTGTGTGGAGTTGGTGGTAGTAGAGTTGTGGGTGTGTTGTGTGTGTGGAGGTGATTGTAGTGTTTTTGTGGATGTGTTGGTGTGTGGAGATGGTGGTAGTAGTGTTCTAGATGTGTTGGTGTGGAAAGGCATTACTGATGATTTGTGGCTTTCCTCTTTTTATTTGAGTTGGGGTTAATATTTTTTGTAGCTAAAATTTATGTTTATTAGTTTTTTTCATGCTAGTATGGACATTGGTTAAGACCAATGAAGCCAGTTCATCTATAATGCTGGATAAGGATACAAAAATAATATTTTGTAACCTTTATTACAAGAACGTTGAAGTGAGAAATAGGCTGACAACCTATTTCAACAAAGAGGGCTGGCAAAATATTATTAAAAATTTTAAAGAAAGTACAGACAGAGAGTACAAAAAGATGCTGCTAAAAAATTAAGTGCGATCAGCTAAAAAAAGGATAGGAAAATCTGGAAAGAATTAAAGTGAGGATCCACTGGCTTAGGTTGAGATCTGATAAAGCGAACAATTAATGCTTCTGTAGAGGAGATTAGTAGGGAGCATTTTGAAAATGTTCACTATTTTTATCAATTTTGATTTTTTTCCAAATCCATCTACATGCCATATGAATTTGTAGGTGGTGACAGCTGTAAGAAATTTAAATACAGTGGCATCGATCCTGAGCTAGAAAAGAAGCTAGATTGTTTTTTTGGAGGTGGGTAGTAACGACAACAATGCATGTGCCCCTAGTGAGGTGGGGCTCGGTGGCATCCATAAAATTTTTAGAGCTCAAGACATAGGTGATTCTAATGAAGAACCCAACCCAAACCTCCATGAAGTTGAGTTCACTAGTCAGTCAAACTGTCTTGGTTTGAGAAAAAGAAAAAAAAGGGAGTTTGATTTATTAGAAGTTAGATTTCACAGTTGGTTGCTTCATGCTCCAATGATCTGACCCATCACAAGCAACTTTTGTCCAACATGTTATGCATATTCTGAAGAAAACTTAAGGAATTTATGAGGACATGTTATTTTATCTGTTCTTGATGAATTTGATTGAAGACCCGACTTGGAGAGAATTTTTCAAGATAATAGCCCCTGGCTGTAGGGTGCATTATTTACGTTATTTTCATGCAAACAATGACATTTAAGGGACAACTAATCTTTATATTTTTGTGAGACATTTTACATTTCTTGCTGCACTTAACATTTTTATTTGCTTATGGCTTTACTTTTTTTTTCCATTAGGAAAATGTTAAATTTGATTTTAATTTTATTTTTCATCATTATGTTTTATCTTACTTTCTTTAAATTTATTTTGAAGCTGGTTTATTTCATAACATTAAATGATTGTAGCTAATTTGTTAATGCTTATGTGTTAGCTATTTCAACAATGATTTACATGGATGTAATTAGAAAAAGGCGCAGAACGAGAGTTGTAGCTGCAGTGTGTTTGATGTATGAGTATTATAACTGTACATAGAGCACTCTCCTTGCATGACTTCATCGTATGTTGGTGACAAATTGGTTGGGGAGTTGCTTGAAGGCCACTCAACGAGGTTTAACAATTTGTTCTGCATGACACAGATGGTATTCACCAATATGTTAGAGAAACTGCACAGATTTCATAGGCTGCATTGCTCCCCCGGGACGACTTCATGAAAGGTGTTAGCACGGAATGAGTCAATGCGAGAAGCTATGAAGCGATTCCAGCACTCTTCCGAAACAATTTGTAGGTATTTCATAGTAGGGTTGAATGCCCTTGTCAGTTTTTAATCATGAGTCATAAAACCAATAAATCCTACATTTGAACAAATCACCATAGATATTTCACATGATGCGCGGTATATGCCATATTTTCAGGTAGTTTCTCTTAATTATTACATTCAATTTTCAAAATGAATATAGTAAATAAGTTACCCTTATTTATCTACTTAGAATTGTTTTGGAGCAATCAATGAAACACACATGGATGCAGGTGTCTCAAATAATGAGAAGATCACATTCATCCGTCGTTGTGGAGTTTAGAGATCAATGATGAGACGTTAAACCTTATGCATTCTTCTAGACGGACAATATGTCAGAATTTTTTTGTGTCACATATGAAATCCTAATGAAGGCTACCAACTTTATGTCCTTTTTCAGTGCAATGGTTTTCGAGGTTCGTCTGAATACCTTTTTTTTGTGATATGCATATGTGACACACACGATCTCGGTACTACGTGGGTTAAAAGCAACCAAGAACCTCTTTGTTATAGGTTTCACCGTCTTATTGTAGTAACAGATTCCTTAGTTTATATACTGAATTTTCTGAGACCTCAGAACTGCATAAGACTAATTAATTTTTTCTATTATTAATTTTTAGCTGTGTTATATCTAATGGTATGTGTTTTTAAACCTTGTTTATCTACTTAGAATTATATTGGAACAATTGATGAAATACACATGGATGCACGTGTCTCAAAAAGGATTATTGATTTTTAATAAAATGTATAATGACTACTTATTTAACTTGGGCATAATTTTCCATCTGCAAAGCCATAATACAATGATATCTGATCCAAATAAAGATAGCATTCTATCAAGACTTTGTTAATGAAAATTGCAAGGGAAAATACAACACCATTCTTATGTTGGAACGTCACGCCGTCCAGCTTCCTGTTCCGGCTATCAACTTCTGTCCCACCTTCCGTTCCTTTATTAAATTACATAATAAAAAGAAAAAACATAAAATATATCAAAAGCCAAAAAATAAAAACCATGCTAAAATATTAATAATTATATTTTCTTCGAGGACGCCCCGTCAATCCCCAAGCGACCGTCGGTCGAACCCTTCTTCCCACCGCCAGTCTGAAATCCCTAAACATCGTCTGCACGATCTGACGCCGCCGTCCATGGACGACGAGTACGACGACGAGTCCCGTTCTCCTTCCCCTTCCTTTTCCTCCCCCTTACCTTTGCCACTCTCCATCTCCATCGCCCGGCCATCTTCCACCCCGCCGACAGACGCCCAACCATCTAATCCAGTCACCGTCGCCTCTTCCTCTCCCCATCAAATACTCACTCTCGCCCTCCCCATCCAGCCCCCGCTGGGCTCCTCCGGCGGCGGCGGCGGCCGCGAGGACTGCTGGAGCGAGGGCGCGACCTCAGTGCTCATCGATGCGTGGGGGGAGCGCTACCTCGAACTCAGCCGTGGAAACCTTAGGCAGAAACAATGGCAAGAGGTGGCCGATGTCGTCAGCAGCCGCGACGATTACTCCAAAACGCCTAAAAGCGATGCGCAGTGCAAAAACCGCATCGATACCTTGAAGAAGAAGTACAAGATCGAGAAATCGAAGATGGGATCTTCGTCTTGGCCCTTCTTCAACCGCCTTGATCTTCTCCTCGGACCAACCGTCAAACCATCGCCATCTCACACCACCATCCCCAAAAAACAGAGGACGAATTTGTCGGCCAAACGGAAGGCTTCTACGCCCTCATCCACCTCCGACAGCTTACCCCCGACAGCAAATGGGAAGCGGAGAGCGGTGCCGGCGGGCAAGACGAGGGAGCTCACACGGGCAATTCTGAGGTTTGGGGAGGTATACCAGCGTGTGGAGAGCTCGAAGCTGCAGCAATCAATGGAGATGGAGCGGCAGAGGATGGAGTTCTCGCGTGAGCTTGAGGAACAGCGGATGCATTTCTTTATGAAGACGCAGATCGAGCTCTCCCAGCTAAAGCGCCATTTTCGCCCTTCCTCGGGCTCTGGAGGTGGCAGCAATAATCACCACCGTCACCGGCATGGGCAACAAGCTTCGGCTAACCGTAATAATAACGGGAATCAGAACTTTGGTGGAGGGTTGATGTGAATCTGTGAATGGAATGCCTGCTTCAATGAATCTGTTTTTGGTTTTAGCTGGTTTCTGAAAATTCATCTCCTTTCTTCTTGTTGCAGCCAGAACTAGTGCTTTGTATGAATAGTTGTGATAGAGTTCTGATTGTATTATCTATTTATTAGTGGAACAATCTGGTTTGATGCTCCCAGCTCTTCTACTGCAAGTCCTTGATCTTCTCCTTTGGTGCGACAGGGAAATTGATGCAGGTCTAGCGGCTTAAAATTATGCCTTTTGATTAAAAAAAGTAGAGAAAAAAAACCTAATCTTTGGTTATAGTGATCTCAAAATCATTAAATTTTACTTTAAAAGAATGCAACATATATATATTTTTATATTTTATATTAAAATACGTCTGACAGTTTTGATTACCTAACCAAATTTTAGCAAACCAGATTTTAACCCTAGTAAATAGTGGGGTTCTTCCAAGGTAACTTTCATTGAAGTTTTCTTATGCGAAGAAAATCATGTTGAGCCGTCCAAAAATATTTTTCACGGTATAAAGCTATGTTGATTATATATATATTATAGTTAAATTATTATACAGTTATAAGTATAACTACTTTTAAAAATTTATTTGTATTGTGAATGATTAATAATTTAATGGCATCACTTAATAACTTTGTTGTATTTGCCATGTAAATTTTGTTAGCTTCTATTAACTGGATACAGTATTTATTGTGCCTTGATGTCTTGCCAAAGATGATGATGAGATTTAATTTAATGGTAATAACTTCAAAATCTAAATGCTCAAAAAATATTTCTCAAGGAACAAATTCTACCCTATACCTCCACACACGCACACACACACACACATACATACATATATACAACACACATACATACATACATACATACATACATACATA